TTATACTTATGCTACCTACTCCTAGTAACCTTGACTTAGCCCTCCTTGCATCTCCTCATATATATAGTAACCTTGACTTAGCCCTCCTTGCATCTCCTCATATATATATATATATGTATATATAATTCACATTAAACCATGTATCTATATATCTTTTATTATGATTTCGGACAAAATTTTCAATACATGACAATTGCATATGCCACATTTTTTTATAATTAAAATATTTTTAACCAAAATGAATTTAATTAAATGATCAGTTGTATCTAATAAAAAATAAAGACTTTTCCTTTGAAGTTTGATCATTGAATTTTGGTATAACAATCATTTGAAGGGTTTTTTTTTTTTTTTCTTTTAACAAAATAAAGACAAGGACATTAAAATCTTAAGTATATATAGAGATATAGATAATATAAAAAAAAAAAAAATATATATATATATATATATAGATAATAGGTTAAAGGATAAAAAAATTTTTTGAATAAAAATTCAATAATCATATAAATTTCTATAATTTAATTATAATTAATTATACTTTCAAATATTTATTTTCATCAATTGAGTCCTTATTAACGAAAATTGGTTAATTTGTCAACATTAATTTCTATCTAATCAAGAATTCAATTAAGGTGAAAATAGATATTTAAAGGTTGAATTAGATAAAAATAGACATTTAAAAGTTTAATTGATCTGAAATAAAAAATTTAAAACTTAACTAATTATAATAAAATATAAAAAATTTCAATAATTATTAAATTTTTGTTTAACGATTTTTTGACCCTTTTACCTATGTAACGTTATACTTAACAATTATACAAAGATCGTTAACTATCTCTTAAATTAATTGACATGTTATTGGAGTTGACACTTGAAGATAATGAGTTTGAGAGAGTTTAAATGCATAATATCTTTTTCAGTCAGATATATAGTTTGATAGAAAGTAATCAAGTATGAGTTTAGATACGTAATATCCTCTTCAACTAGGTATATAGTTGGATAAAAAATTTAAAGGTAGATTAAAAACTTAAAAAAAAAAATAATTATACAAACAATTATACAAGGAGAATAGGAAATTTGGAATATAGAAACCGATAGCCCGTGGGTAAAGTAAAAGCTTAATAAATAAAGTAAAAAAGGATGATGAAGGAAGCTGATTTGAATATCTCATAATTAAAGCTTTGAATTTAATTAAATGAAAATTTTTGTTTAAATTTATGAACAGTTTTGAGTGACATGAATAAATTTTTTTTTTATACCTTATTCATGAAACTTGAATTGATTTCTCAACTTCCCTCTTCATTGAAATGCATGCACAGCATTTAGTTGCATACCTACAGATTAGCCTCCAAATATGGAGAGAAAAAAGAGAGAGAAATATTTACTGTGCTTTTATTACGTGTTGAAAAATGGCAGAAAAGAAAAAAAAAGGCATTGAACGCTATTAACGGATCCATTTCATGTGCCAACCAGACTTTCTCAGGGATTTCAGATGTTTGCTATTAAGAACATTGAAGTTTTTCTTTCTTAATTTAATCTATTTTTTTTCTTCTTTCTTTCTTTTAAGTTTTAATAGTAATGATGATAAAGAGTAGTTTTTAATTTACTTGTAAGAGGATATCAGAGGCTTCAATGGTGAGTTCTAAAGCGACTCTCCGGTTTCCCCACATGTATGAAAAATTGAGTTTGCATTATTTTTTTTTTTTTTTATATCAGATCATCTTCAATGCTGTCTTTCAAACTCTTTTAATGGATAATTGAATATCAATATATATATATATATATATATATTTGTTTATCCTTAAAGATCCTGATCGACACTGTGTCTTGTGATACGAGATTCTTCCCGTGCATTATAATAAGGTTAAAAGTAAAATTTTTTAACTTTATAAGGGTTAAGAGACTGTTACATGTCTCATTTTTTTTTATTATATTGTAAGAGATGTGTTACTCTATTAATTTTAATTGTCAGTTGATGTGATAAATTTTTTTTATAATTATATGTCAAAAAAATGTATATATTAATATTTTTGAATGAATTATTATTTTATACATCAGCTATAAATATATTTATTTAAATTTCATAAGTATGTTTGTACAATATTCATGTATGCCTATTTATTAGTAATTAAATTAATTTATTTTTTTCTTTAATCAATCTGACAATTAGGGCTTACAAATATAATGCAAAGTAGCAAAAACTGAAGTGACAAACCAACATACTTACACATAGTTGAAGAAAAGATAAAATTGAACTAAATTTGGTGAAACTTAAAATTGGGGCTTAATAGTTTCAAGGTCTCCACCATGCAATTATAATATGTTTCCAAATTGGGAAAGGGATTCGGGAGGGAGACGATGGCCCATGAACCATGCATGCATTAGGTGGTTCCAGCATATCAGCATCTGCATGTGTATGAACTGATGATAGGTAAGAGTAATTTACGACAGCAGGGGTCCAGATCAGATCAGTACGAGATCTCTGAATGCGAGAGCTGTTCTCATAACAAATTCAAAGCACTTCTCCTTTCTCATGTTTTGAGATTATGTTCATGTAATAGCTTCAACTTCGACTTCAACTGGTTTGCTTTTCTGCCAGATTTTATCTTTTAGATTTTATGTTTGAAGCAAAACTATTAATCGAAGGATAGCTATGGTACGAGTTTATTTAAGGTTTTCGGATCGAACCTGCAAGTGGGCAGATTGAGTAGGGTTAAAGCAATGGACTTCGTTGAATTTTCCGTTTCTGGGGGTACGAGTTTATTTAAGGTTTTCTGATCGAACCTGCAAGTGGGCAGATTGAGTAGGGTTTAAGCAATGGACTTCGTTGAATTTTCCATTTCTGGGGTTCTGCTTATGGATAGATAAATAAATAGATGGAGAAAGATTGAGATGGAGTGAAAGAGAGAGAGAGTTTAATTGCATATTGATTATTAATTAACAGCACCAATTAATTTTTCTCGAATCAGTAAAAGAAACTTTTGTAACTCCAACAGTTTTGTGATATATTGAGAGAATATCGAACTCTTAATTTCAATGATTAAAATTCAAATCCTGATAGTCTTAATAAAAAAAAAAAAAGGAAACAAGCAAGGTAGCTATCTTATGAAGTAAGGATTACATTTTATTTTGATCAGGCTAATAGGGTTTGGGAAATGTACATTAGCGCATGTCCTGTTTTCCTCCGGAGACTGCCAACTACTGATATAATTGCATATTGATTATGAGTAATTCTATTTAAAGGTTCATAAGGTGGGTGTGAGGTTAGAATTTATGGTTGATGTGCACAAGACTTTAGGAAAACCCCTCCCCTGTTTGAAATTGTAATCGACAACTAATTACTATCAGCATCTGGAACTCATTCTCAAGTGCTTGAATCATCACTTCACCATATCAATCATTCGCCATCCTGGATTAGAAAATGAAATTTGCTGATTTTCGCATCAACAAAACTATGCATAAGAGTTATTACAAAGTAAAAAGAAAGCAACAAATGACCAGCTGATCAAGCAACTCAGGCCACAGATTCAACTTGCAATTAATCCATGAAACCCAAGTTCAGCCACATTCCCTAACATATGCTCAATTGAACTTCAACTAAGAAAGAGAACAAGTGATCATGCATGACAGCAACCATAATATCATCAATTTAAAGATAGAAGATTAGAGAACAAAGAGGAACCTAGTTCACAGTGTTTACCCGGCAATCTAGAAAGGTTAGCTGCAGCCTCTATCTATAAATTGAACATAATTATACAGATTTTGTGTTTTTAAAGTAACTATGGCTTTTATCATTTCAGGATATGAACAATAGTCAAGGACCTGGGACATTGGCTGAAAAAGGGTGCATAATGACTTAAATGCAGGGAGTGGATTGTGAAGTCAGAGACCTGGTGAAAGAATTCCGATCGCCAGACTGTTCTAACAAAAGGAAAACGTGTGGAAGGCAATATGAAACCATAGACTTCCCCTAGTACCAACTTGTGGGGAGATGGGACCCTTTCATTGTACAGCTGCTTGATAGATAAAAATTATGACATTAAGGCTCCGATTGACTGGCTTTTGGTTTTTGGTTTTTGCTATATGTTTATTGTTTTCAGTTCATTTTGTATTTTTTGCTTTGCACTTTCCATTGAAAAAAGCAAAATAGCAGAAGCACAACCAAATGGAGCCTTAACTCACGCAATCCCAAGCAGATGTATAGATACCATGCTTAAAATGCAGTTACCAAATGAGAGAGAGAGAGAGAGAGAGAGAGAGAGAGACCCCAACAATGGATATGATATATATATATATATACACACACACAATTTATATGAACCATTCTAGGAGAAGGGGAGAGAAAGATAGGGTGAAGTAGTCTGAAACCTAGGTTTTCCAAGAGTAGAAAGGTTACCCGAGCATACTAATTAGATACTACTGCATATATTAATTCACTGAAAGTTGAAGAGCAAAACTTAAGAATTTTGGTCACCAAGAAAATGAAATAAATTGCAAAATTCTTAAATTAGCACAGGTTATACCTGACATTTATAACCAGAATAAAGGTTGTTACACATTTATCTATTCTCAAGCATTAAATTGAATAGAAATCTTGGACACTTCACTCCTATCCAGGCTACAGTTTAAATGTTGAAGAATTCCATTCAAGATGTTCAATTTGTGGATTGGGTTTGCATCAGCAGCTAGAATGCAAATATGCACTCTGGTCTGCAGATTGGCGTCCCTATCCAGTGTATTATGAGATTTAGTTCATGATGCCCAACAAGGATAATGTCAAAAAGTCAGATGATCACATGGCCTTTTGTCTTCTAGATGATATCATCAACCGAATTGACAAAATTGACACAAACCAAAATCAACTTGTCTTGCAGACAAACTCAAGTATGAGCTCATAGTACAGTTAGCATTAATATAAGAGAGACAACTTATTAGGACTGAAAATTCATAGACCTTATTTCAATAACTTAAAATTTAACAAAAAACAATTGAAGTTACCAGCAAGGAAAGTTTCAACTCAATACATATAAATATCTTGTAATACAACTCAAGTATAATTTGGTGTGTATATAAAAAAATAGAGACAATTTATAGGAATTGAAAATAGAGGGACTATATAAAAGTTTCCTACCATTTAACACAGTTTACTTTAAATTATGAACAAAATCATATTCTAGTAATTTAATGTTCATACTTCTATATTTTCATACCATGTGCAGTATTTATTTCACATATTCCTTCCATTTTCCATCAAACGGACTTCCCTTTCTACCTCAATTCAGGACACTAACTGCCATGATTTGAACCGCAAAATCACTTTGAGATAGGACACTTTACTCCAGAAGATTATAAAGCACATTGACATCAAGCATCCATGAAATGTTGACAAGATATATTCAGAGTTTCATGTAACGTGCCGTAAGTCAACTGAAACAATGATCATTGTGAAGCTATAAAAAAGGGAAAACAAAAGAAACCAAGGTCTATCTACTTGCACATACCAAACAGTATTGATGTTATTGGCATGTGAGCCAACAATACTAGTCATCCAACATTGGTTGCTGCTCAAGCTCAGTTAAATGTTCATTCAAAGCAAACACAGAGCCATTGATAATCTCATTTTCAGCCTTACACTGTATCAACTGTTCCTGAAGACTCCTCACTAGCTCATTCAGTTTCTGAATATTCCTTTCTTGAGAAAGTATGATCTGTGCCAAAGTTGACAGAAAATAACTCTAATCAGTCACTTAATACTCAGAGATGAAGATGATGTATGCCATCTTCAAGCAACTACACCAGGAAAAATAATGAATGCAGCTTGGATGAATAAAATAAAACTAGATAAGTAATAAGTAGACAAATGGGTCGTTTTGAGGTGCCAAACAGGTGTAAACTACTTGGAATTTTAACATGGGGTATATATTAAGGAGTTTAGACAATTTTAAAAGATAATGTAAAAGTTCTATTAGATGGGGAGTTTTAGGCAACAAACTTCCAATAAGACAATCATATAAAAATTACCTGCCAATGCCAATAGTAACTCAAAAGTATCACTAGTTTCAAGAAATAAATCCTACCTAACTTCAATTTAGATAGATATTATGTATGACATTTGCAACTAGGAACACAAATATTTGAGTTGCTGCTTCTCACTAAAGTGACCAACGGAATTAGAAAGTGGAAGGGGACAAAACCTAAAATACTTCTTGCCACTAAAAGGTTTTCACTTATAGAATTGCAATTGTGGAACTGAAATCAAGACACTAAGAGAGCATGTCAGACAAACTTCTGGGCCAAAATAAAGATGCATGTCCAAGAGTCAGATCTAGCAAGCCGTAAAACTTGCTGACATGGGGCCAAAAAGGTAGATATAAGATAGTAGGATCATCCTTTTGCAAGCATATGCTAAAAGTAAATTAGCCAGTTACCTTACCAAAATGAAGTCTCAGGACAGGTGGTATAGATACAGTCCTATCCCATGGTACTTTTCTATAAAGTGGCAAACCATGCATATTTTAACCTGCAGTCACTAGCCCAATGTTTTTATTCTTCCACCAAAACAGTACTGCCCATGCGAGCAAATAAATTCATAATCCTTTACTAGAACAGTAACTATGCTTCATAACATTTTCTCCCCAAATCAACTATGTCTAATTGCTGGGTAACATTTGAATACAGTTCAAATGGGCCATCTAACAAGTCCTGATCACTAGTCTGGATCTTTTAAGAAATGCTTCAGTAAATAGACATCTGAATAAACAAAGAAACCTTCTTTCTTTAGCCAACAACGAAATACAACCTTACGAATATTGATTTTCTACTCTTTCTTGCAAAAGAAAGTAGCAAGATATTTCTTGGTTAAGAAAAGTCAAGAAACAACGTTGTTTTATAGGATAGAAAGCATGGTAAAAAAAAATGGATACTTTCTCTCTTAAACAAAAAAGTCCAAAATGTCTCCAAGGACTTTTTTCTACTTTCTTGAGCAAAAGTATAGGGAATGAATAAAAAACACTCTGGAGATGATTAGCTTGTAAATAGTGAATCTCAGCACACATTACAGGAGCAAACCCTCATCAAAATGACCCAAAGATTTGACCGTTCACGGCAATGTTGACCGTTTCATCCCCTTCTTTGGGTATATATGATTGAGCTAATTGAACTAGAAAATTGCATCAAATTCTCAGAGTCTCAGACTTCATATAACTCAAACAAATAGAAACAAAATACTATTACAATTATCAATTCAAAGAAGCTCAGTTTGAGCATCTTTAAAGACTTTGAGCACTGTTCAATCGATTACTTAGTAGAATGAAAGATTAAAATAAACAAAACAAAAATCGTTTCACTTATTTTATCATTATACCCTTTGCAAACTAACAAATATTGGGATAACATTGTTAATTAACTACATTGAAGAATCTAGTTCATGGTCTTGGAATGGAAAGGATAGAATCGCATTTAAAAAAAAAAAAAAAGAAGGTTAGGAAAGAAGAAACCTTTTCTTTGACGGATTCTTGGCGTTTCGAAACGTATTGATCTTTGAGAGAAACAGTGGGAGTTGGCTCAATTTCTTCGCCAAATTGCTGCTTCCATTCTAACTGAGAAGTAAACACTATTAAAAATACTATAAAAACGAGTAGCCAAGGTCTCGACATTGCTTACATTTATTTAACCCTTTTTTTTTTTTGTTTGAATTCCCCTTTTTCTCTCTTGGGTGTTTCCAGAAAATGGAAATCCTTTGCCCAAGATTTAAGGGAAGAAATTCGCCAGAAAATACAAAAAAGAGAAAAAAGAACAGCCGCAGATCGAAGTAGACGAGACGAGACTGGACAAATGGAAATTCGTTTTAAAATTTTTTTTTGGACGCATATTTCCTTTTTCATTTTTTTTAAATTACCACCAGCTGGTTTTTTCTTTTCTTGTTTTCATCAATTTTTGTTATTTTTAAGTGATTTTTTTAATAATGGTCACATTTATTTAAAGTTTGTTTTTTTTTTAATTTACAAAATTAATAAAAAATACATCTACATCATGTTTATTTTATGTATAACACATTAAATATAATTAAAAAAAAAAAGAGAACATTTTATGAATTTTATTAAATTATATATTTTTATTATTTTTAAATCATATTATTTTTATATTTTATATTTTTACATTATATCATAATAAAAATTTCAGATTTAATAGAAAACTACTGAAACGAAGGAAATAAATATTGTTTTTTCTTTTAAAGTTAGTAGATTTTAATTGTACAAAAAGAAAAAAAGAAAAAAAAAAACATAAATGTCTTTATTAAGCAAACTCATGGCAATTTGGACTGATTTCCAACCAAAAAAGTTTAGATTTGGGCTTGAACATGGAACATTGTATGGAGAATAAACTCGGCCCATCCATAAAAACAACAACAACAATTATAATAATATAGAGAGAGACGAAAACGGAAAGCAACGAACAATCGCAGGAAAATCAAAGTAAAGCAGAGCAAGAAAAGAAGAATGGGAAACAGCCAGTCACCTCCAGCAGCAAATCATCGTTTCACTTCAGCTTCCAGGTTTTGCCTTATCTCAACAACATTTCCTTTAATTTTCTTTTCAAAAGACTACTTTCTGGTATTGTGGGTATAATTGAACTAATAAAAATGTTTAATGTCTTAGAGCTTTTACACCAAAGGAACTGGAGGATCTCAAATCACTCTTCACTTCCCTTGCTGCCCAGTCACAGAGCAATGGCCAATACATTTCTTCATCTGTCTTTCAGGTTTTTATAAACTACCCATTTTTAATTATAAACGTTTCTTTTGATTCCCTCTTTTTTTTTGGCTTTTACAAGAAATATTATTTTGGCTGTAGGCTTACTTTGGGTTAAAAGGTCCTCTTGGGGGTAGAATGTTTGATTTAGCCACGCAGGGGAGGAAAGACGATAAGCTTACCTTCGAAGACCTTGTGATCACTAAAGTAATTATCATTTTTGTGTTGGATTTTTAATTGTATTGGAAATTTCATTGTTCCTTATCAGTGATCAATACAAATGCTTAAAATAAATGCCGTTGGTTATATATAGCTTCATTTGGTTGTTGATTTTGCTACTTTTTACTTATAGATGTAAAAAAGCGAAAAGCATGTTTTATTAGATAATTAGAGATTGCAAATTTTAATATTTTGTGAATGACAAAATGCTTAGTTTTGCTTCAGTATAGAATAATTACTATGTTCTGGTATGTATTACATTTTTACTTTTGTTTATCCTTAATCAAATGCTAAGATTTTGCTTTTCTGTATATCAAAAGGCAACTAACAAAACCAAAAGCTAAGGAGAGCCTGTGCTAATCACTGTTCCATGTTTCATTTTTTGTAGGGGACTTATGAGAAAGGGACAAAAGATGAAATTGAGGAGTTTATTTATCAATTGTTGGATGTTACAAATGATGAAAATTTGACAAGGTAGAATGATGATCACTTGTAGTATTGGTTTCTTTGCTTCTTATTTCCCAATGCATGAAACCTTACGAAGGAACAAATTTTCATGTTATAAATTACTTTTACCATCTAATTGATGGAAAATTTTTGAATTTCTAGCTAAACCCTGTTATTTTAGAAACCTTCTAACTTATGTGGCTTCTTCTCAAAGACAGGTCTGACCTAGACTCTGTTCTAGTCTCAATGTTTGATCATATATTCCACCTGAAAGGTTCTGAACTGGAATCAAGTTCACATTGCTACATGGTGAACACATTTCTGAATGCTGCAACATTCTCAAAGGATCATGAGGGATATAATGATAAAAGTATGTCTTTTGAGGATTTCAAAAGCTGGTGTACGCTTGTACCGTCTGTGAAGAAGTTCCTTGCAAGCTTACTAGTGCCACCGGATCCAGGTTCTCCATGCTTTTTCACTTTTATATGCCCTTTTATCATGTAATCTTTTATTATGAATGGATACCTTATGTTTTAATTCTAACAAATATACAGACATGGTTCTGACTTAAATTTTCATGTTCAGAAGAAATGGATTTCAAAGGATTGTTGTCCATCTAATGATATATATATATATATATATATATATGCTTTTTCTATTTCAGTAAAAGTTTGTAACTTGAATGGCTCTTGATGACGTTGATATGCATATAAGTGCAGATTAACTCAAAACTGTCGAAATTAGGTTCATCATTGATGAGTAGGATTGGAATTGATGAGACATATTTTGCATGGAATGTTTATATATAGTTTTGAATTTGTATCCTTTCTAACTGTTAGCAAAAATATGCGGTTCACTTAATGTTAATTTGATGGTTTGATTTTATGGGCACTCTAGCTTAACTTTGATTAAGCCTGATTCATTTGGAACTCTTATTTTTGTCTCTATGTTATGCCTAATCTATTAAGGCTTAACTTTGATTAAGCTGGATTGTAGATTAATTGGATACATCATGAAACGGTTGTTACAGCAAATCCTTTCTAGTCTCCTATATCAGTGATTGCAAATTAATATCTGAGCTAGTTTTAATCGCTACTTTCTTGTGTAGGGAGATCGGGATCTCAGGTTCCTAAATTTCAGCATTTAGATAATATTGATTCTACTGTATTATTATTGAGAGATGAATATGCTTGGCATATAGGAGGAGCTATATCTCAGGAAGAGCTGGAGGAATGGAAACTCTTGTATCATAGCGCATTAAATGGTTTAAGTTTTAACACATTCTTGGGCAATGTATCGTAAGTACATTGCTTCCTTACTTGCTCCCATCTGTCTTTGTTTAGACTATGTTAGTTTTTCAATTTTAATTTGATTTCAAGTCATAAGAATCCCATTAGTTCTATTCCCTGCCTCCCAAACTATGATCTGGTTCTGAATGTTGAGAAGTCCATGTAATATTTTAAACTATTCTGAAGAATTACAGATAGTTCTGGTTTTTTGTTTAAAAATATGAAATTGGCCATGTGTGATTGTTTTTAGTGTGATTATGGCGATCGGTTTCCTCATTTTTCTTGAAAATTTCCTATCAATTCATGACTATTCAACTCCATCTTGGGTGATATTTTAAACAATTATGGTATGGCTTCCATTGCTGCCATAACTTTGGGTATTTAACTTGGCTTCTTTATCTAGTTTAATTTGAAGCTGCTTTGACCAAGAAGTCTCTCAAATATGCAATTGATGCATAAGGCTATCTAACATATTATACCTTGAACAGTCTCAAAGAACATAAAGTGCTCACTGTGAGGCTGTCACCCTTGGTAGTTAATCTATTTTGGAGACATAGAAGAAATTGACAAGCACTAAGCTCTTCTTTATTTATTTATTTATTTTTCATGTTTTGCAATTTATCAAGAACCTTGCTCATCTATGATGAATTTTGGGTTTACAACTAAAATATGCCAGTTGGATTCTCATTTTCTGACTACAAGATTTGTTTCTGAGGCTTGTATGTGAGTGGTCCACTAAATAAAATAGAGAAAATGAAAATTTTCTCTGTATCTGATGTATTGTTTAACAATTGCTTTCAGGCCTTTGTTTCATTTTCTTTTTTTTTTTTTTTGAAGAAAGCATAGATTCTAAGCACTTTCTAATTTTATTTCATTTGGACTGTTTGCTTTAGCTATTATTTTTAAATAGGAGTCGAATGGGTAATAGTTCAGTTGAACTGCAGAAACCATGATGAGCCAACTGTCTTGATTATCAAGGATAGAGAAGGTTACATATTTGGAGGTTATGCTTCTCAGCCTTGGGAGAGGCATAGCAATTTCTATGGAGACATGAAGTCTTTTCTCTTTCAGCTCTACCCAAAGGCATCTATTTTCAGGCCAACAGGAGCAAACAATAATTTACAATGGGTATGTTTCCACTTGCTTTTATATCTTTTTCCTTGGTATGTTTCCACTTACTTTCATTTGAAGTTAAACTAATGTATGTTTGAATCCTTTATTTCCAAGAATCTCCAATTGTGGGTACTTGCTTTTCATATTGCTAAGAGAATTTCTTCTTGTAAGTAGGCATGCTGTAGATACACTGCGAATTAAGTTGTTTTATACCATAGGGTAGAACTTATGTAGGACATATTTTGGTAGATTTTACACTCAACCTGAGACTGGATTGGAATTATCAATAAAAGTTATTTGGGGTTGTCTAATAGGACTAAAGTGAGTTCAAATATTGAAATGTTAGAAATCATAATCCTGACCGTGGCTTGGGTTACCTAATTCTTTTTCTACTTGACTAATTTTTCCCCTTTTAATCTACTTTTCCAAATTGTGAGTGTAAAACTAGCTTCCTTATGCTTATGGGAGTGTCACAGTTCCTCTAAGTGATTTATGTTGCTAGCAATCTCGCATTTGCAGTGTGCTGTGAACTTCGGTTCAGAGACAATCCCAAATGGCATCGGTTTTGGAGGACGCATAAATCACTTTGGCCTGTTCCTCTCGGCAGGCTTTGATCAAGGGCATACCTTCTCCTGTACCACTTTCAATAGCCCTTGCGTTTCCAAGACCAGCCAAATATACCCGGAAGTGATTGAATGCTGGGGAGTTGTTAGAAAAGGAATGGAAAAAGAAAAGCCAGATGTTGCTAAGGGTTCAGTGTTAGAAAGGTTTAAGGAGGAGAGGCATATGCTCAACATGGTTGGGATTGCAAATGCAAGTGGGTAGCATGCACTTTTAGATGGTTTTTGACATTCTTAAAAATTGCATATTTAAATGATGAAGGCTATGTACGGTAGAATTTTTTGAATCTGCTTTGTACTACGTGTGTAATACTGGATGCAGTATATGTTACCATTGACAGTGATCAGTGCCTTTGAAAGGTCGTAATGCTATTTGCCTGACAGAAGATTCTCTACCTCGTTTTAAAATAATCCATAGAAGAAGATTGGGGATTAACTATCCTTTGTTGCTGTGAATTGTTTATAGCCATTATAGAATCATATACTCTTTCTTTGTAAAATATGAATTTGCTGCTTTTTAATAGGAATATTCTTCTGTTGTCATCTGACCATGACACAACATAAAATTGTGGGATTACATGGAGCTTTCACCTAAACATTATACATATCACAGAATTATGTAATATGACACATCCAAGTAGGAAGAAAAATCGTGGCATTTATGGCTGCCATGTGGAATGTTGACGAAGTTTCTCTGACCTTTTATCCATCACTCGATAGTTCAATTCTGAAACCAAACCACCACCACCACCACCCCCCCCCAAAAAAAAAAAAAAGAAAAAGAACTATAGTCCAAAAATGTAAGTTTCTCCGGTAAATCAGTCAAAGAGTTAGACAAAGTGTGCCTATGTTCACTATAAGAAAGAAAAAAGGCCAAAGACCATGTGCAGTCATTAAAAGACAAAGTTCCTCTATCAATTATCAATGATGCGGTGGTGAGGAAATTTTGGTTTGATACCGGGGACATGGTGACGGACTTAGACCAAGAAATTTAACGGAGAGACTTTTCTATGTTAAACTCGAACAATTGTCAGGATTTGGTTCCATGGCTTGGTTAATGTTCAATGAGCTTCACTGTGTTTTTTGCTGCAGAGCTTCAACTTTTCTATGCGCTGCTTTTCTTTTGTAATTTCTGTGTTTTGGAATGAAATTGTTTTAACTTTAGAAGGAAAGACATTGTGCCAACAATAATCAAATTTAATTCACAAACGATCTCAAGTACCAAAATAAAAAGAGAAATTGTATTGATGAAAAACACAGATCACAGTTGGAAGTAGACTCAGACCCCGGCAATACAATAAACCCTCTATTACATTATGTAGTTTTGGATAAGTTTATTTTCCTTATTTCAAAACATTATTGAAAGCGTAAAATAGAGATTTGTTAACACAAGAAGGTTTATTGTGAAAGTACTGACAGTCCCAACTTCCATGATTGATTGCTGAGGCTATACCCTCCATCAATTGCCAGGTTGACACCACTAACATATTTGGCCTCATCGCTAGCCAAATAAAGGGCCGCATTTGCAAAATCCTCTGGCTCCAGTACGGTCCCTTTCAATACTGCTGAAACAGAAATCATCTCCTCTCCCTTCTTCTTGTCGAATAGCCCGAGTGTTTTTTGGAACAAAGGGGTGGCAGTTGCGTGAGGTGAAATGCAATTAACTCTAATTCCATGCTCACCTAACTCAACGGCCAAGCTCTTAGTCAACCCTGCCACAGCATGCTTTGATGCCTTGTATGAGTGGGGGTTGCCGTAGCTAATTTTTGAAGCAAGACTTGATGTGAAGAGAATGCACCCTTTCTTGGCTGGAACCATGAACCTGGCGGCATGCTTGGCACCCAAGAATCCACCTAACACATTGATATCAAATACTCTCTTGAAGTTCTCAGTACTGGTATCTGTGACTCTAACTTCATTGTCACCCATAATCCCAGCATTGTTGAACATGATATCAAGCTTTCCATACTTAGAAACTGCCAATTCTACAGCATTTTTGACATCAGATTCGCATGTTACATCACAGTGGACATAGCTGATGTTTTCTGTTCCAGTCTCTTGGCAAAGGGAGTTGCCCAATTCATCCTGAATATCTGCAATCAGAACCTTGGCCCCATGTTTGACAAACAGCCTGGCTGTACACTCACCTAGGCCACTGGCGCCACCAGTTATCAGTGCCACCTTACCATCTAGCCTGTATCAAAGAAAAAGTAAGCTTCATACTTCAAACACAAATTTTTGCACATCTTTAATTTTTCTGTTAGTTAGAAACTAAAATTTGCGAGCAGGCAAGGCTTTTTTCATTCTGAAAAGACATTGTTAAGCTTATTATAAACACCTTCATCATAATTAAGACAAATAGCTAATCAATTTCGGATTGACAGAAGCAACATTTGTTTCAATGTTCTGTACTGAGTCTGGCATAAGTAAACATGATTTTGTGGAACCGTGGGATTTACCTCTTGGTTACTGACGACTCGGCACTCATTGTAGTTCTCAAGAAAGTAGACCCTCCTCACTATGTCACCGTGCCTGTCTTTGATTGCAATACTATGATTATGCGCTTCGCTTCATTGTTTTCTGGTTCTTTATAGCTTCACAAAGTGTAACCATATTCTGAAAATTCAACAATGGCGTCGTCATCGTTTGAATATAAAAATATGCTTGAGTCCAAAAATTGAACTCCTCCATTTCAGTACTTCAAAAAAAAAAACAAATCATGACTTTTAGTTTGTCTCTCAAAATATGTCAAGACTAAATTTCACAAATAAAATTAATAAGATATCATATATTTATTCATTATTTTTTAGAGAAAAAAATATACTTATTAAAATATATAAAAAAAATAAAAAATATATTAATCTTTTAATTTCATCTTTAAAAATTTTTTTATTGTCAATGTAAAAAATATAATATATGCTATTATAAAACCAATAAGGGGATAGGGAATATATGACTCCATCACTAGTTAACTGATTTTGAATATTGAATTTTAAATTCTAAAATGTCACTTCAAGTATATTATATAATAATGGAAAATAGAAACGCCTAACAACGGCGAATATATTGGGAGTTCAACGGCTCGAGGCTCGACCGGCCTTGAATTCAAATTTGGCTAACTTGATTGTTTATCAAATAAAAAAAAAAAATGAAAGTTGGGCTTGACCGTCACCATACCTACTACGTATGAGTTGATTTTCAACCTATGCCGCCGTAGCTCTATTGACTGTTGCCTTTTGATGTAAAATTATAATTGTAGCCAATTTAACAATGATTTAGGGTATACTTAGACGAACGAAAAGATTGATTTTAATAAAATTAAAAAAATAATAAAAATTATTGTAGTTATAATTAAAAAAATATTATAATTATGATTGAAAAAAATAAAAAATATATTAAATAAATCTTATTAAAATTAATATTTAAATTTAATTAGTGATATAATAAGTTTAATTAATAAAATCTAAACCCTTCAATTTAATCTTTGTTTAGTTTTACACAAAGTCCCGGTACGATGCATTTGAGATTTTGGTTTTAATCGTATAGTAATTTGTTGTTTGGTAAATATTTTCAAATTTTAGTGAAAAGCTTTTGTTTGCATTGAATTTCTGATGAAAAATTGGAGTATGAAGTGTGCAGTGACTAATTGGAATGTAAATTGGATAATGATGTTTATATCATTATTTTTATTTTTTTATCTTTATATTTATAATGATAGGACTTAAACACTTTTAATAGATCAGAATATTACATTTTTTTTCTTATCATTTTTTTTACCCTTAAACCTATATTTTATCCTTAAACAAAAACTTTATATATATTATCATTTTGATAAAATTTACCATTATTTTAAAAAATTTTAGTTTGGTATTTATATTTATATTTGTTTACTTTGTTATGTTTTACACTTCATATTTTTAATATTAATTTATCCAAATAATATTTACAATTATTATAAGTATTATTTCTTCAAATTTTAAATATTTTGAAGTATTTTTATAAATTTTAGTACTTAAAATCCTAATTATTATTTATAATATAAAATAATATACATCAATAGATTAAATAAAAAATTTAAAATTTAAAATACTAAATAACAGTAAAATATATAAAAATAATTTATTTATATATTTTCAAATTACTATCTTTAATAAATATTTTTAATTTTATTTTATTATTATCATTACATTTATATCCAAATATATATATATATATATCTATTATTAATTTTAATTTTATTACTATAATATTTAATTTCATTATTATAATAATTAGTTTTATTTTTAATATTATTTTTAATATCACTAAAATCAATTTCAGTTGTACTATCATTTGGACGATTTTTTTTTTTATACTCGCTTAATTAAGTGTAAATAGCCAGTGTTTTGTTTGTGTCATTTAAGCCACCAAATTTCAGTAGTTGCTTATCCTTCTGGTCTTAAATTCTTCCCGAGCACTTGAAATTTGGTCTCTTCTAGAGGTGTTCAAAAACGGTTGCTGGTATTTAGTCATCAGAGGATGGGACGGCTTGGTTTGTTGTGCCAGAGAAATTAATTAGCAGTCTGAACTTTGGAAATTTCGAATACAAAATATGCCCCTTTATTCTCATCTCAGGTCACCATCACCGACTAGCTCCCCCTTTTTTTCGCTAACTTGACCATAAAAAATTTATGTTAAAATAAACAATTAATCATTCCATTATAAGAATATTTTTAAAATATCATTAATTATTAATTTTTTAAATTTAATTATTTAAATTTGACTAATTTTTTTTTTCATTTATTCTTAAGTTTTTAATAACATGTTCATATAATACTGTTACATTAATAATTATGTGTCATATGATATTATTATTTGATATGTTATACAATATTATTATAGTTAACATAAAAAAAAAAGTTATGTGATGTTTGATAATTAATATAGTAATATTATGTCAATACACTGTTAAAAATTAATTGTAGAGTGATAAAAAAATTTTAATCAAATTAAAATAATTAAATTAAAAAATTAATAATTAAATGATTATTTTAAAAATATAATAATAATTAAATCATTAATAATGCATTTTATCCGAAAGTTATAGTTGGAAGCTCCTATCTAACCCTTGTTCTCGCAATCATGTAACCTAAGGGAGAAAATCAAATAATACTGTAAGAAGACTGAAGAAGACTAGAGGAATGTGTATATGCATAGTTGTAAAAATATGTACAATATTTTTATCTTTTTACTTAAAATTTAAGAAAATATGTAAGGAGAGAGTTTGAATCTTATTATTTTAATTTTTTTATGAATAAAAAAAATGTATGGCAGGATATACACCCATAGCTTATTTGGTTATCAAAGGCAAAGTTTTTCAAGCTGATTAACTCAAGTGATTTGCTGTTATTGAATGGAAAATTAGAGGCTAGAGCAAGGCTTGGTGTTTTTATTCCAATAGTCCATGGTAATATTTCCAAACAATGAAAATCTCCCCAATATATTATTTCTCTGTATGTTTTTTATTGCAATATTTAATTGTGAGTTTCACTTCCTTGTTTTCTGTTCTTTATAGCCCATAGAATATACCATACTTGGAAAAATAATCAGTGATGTTGTATAATTTGAATAGCTTGCTGATAACAGTTAACAGTTATTCCCTGTAGTAAATGAATAATCTCATCCAATAACTGTCAAATCAATTGTTTGTCCTTGGGTTCTATCTTCAAATCATGTCAAGATTATGGAGGGCCTGTGTGAATTTGTTGCACTATTTGTTGGTTGTTGGACTAAATTCTAAGTCTACTAAAACTAATCAGGTAATCTCGCTCTGTGTTAATTTGTTGTAAATATCTCTTTTGGCTGCAATGAAACAATGCAAGTGAGCCAATTGATATAAGTTTCAAAACACTTATCTGAAACTTGCTTTTGCCAATAGATGTGGTGTTTATAAAATTCAATTCTTGACAACTTTTAAGCACTCAAGAAAAAAAAATTCTGAAACTTGCTTTTATTACAACCAAAACCAGAACTTGCTTGTTTTAGTTGCTTACTTACAGAACCCAACAAAAAAAAGGGAACAACAGAGTAAACAGAGCTTACATGAACATTTATAAATGTTCATCAAGTTAACCATATATATAAATTCTAAACCACTAAACTTATTAACGAGAGGGTAGAATGGATTTGATAACAAGATAATTATTCAGGAATATAGCCTTTCAGTCCCGTTTTCCATGTTTGATTGTTGAGACTATATAATCTCTATAACTGGTAAGTTGACACCATTCAGATACTTTTGGCCTCATCACTGGCCAGAAACAGGGTAGTATGAGCAACATCGTTCGGTTCCAATAGGGTTCATTTCAGTACTGCTGCCGCTGACACTATCTCCTCTCGCTTTTTCTCATCCGAAGTCCCGGATGTCTGTTGGAACTTGGAACAATGGAGTAACAACTGCATAAGGGGAAATGCAATTAACTCCAAATCCCATATTCAACTAACTCCACGGCCAAGCTTTTACTCAACCATACCACAGCATGATTTGATGTGGTACATGTATGAGGGAGACCAATGCAAATCATTGAAACCGTACTAGCAGTGAAGAGAATGACCCCTTCCTTGGCTGGAATCATCACTCTAGCAGCATGCTTGGCTCCTAAGAAGGCACAAAATGTTGGACCTGAAGCAACAAACAAAACAACACAGAAATAATATATTGTAATAAACTCACAGCAACATATTACAATAAATAATTAACAATGTAGGAAAATAAAGCACATCAAAATTTACGTGAAAAACTCTCTAACGTAGAAGGAAAAAAAACCCAAAGACCACTAGAAAAATTTTCACTATCAAATAATAGATATACAAAGTTTTTTTCTAACAAAAACTAAAGCTAAATAACAATTAGAGAAAGAATTGAAAAAATCTCACTAAATATGCCACTCAACAAGTACACTCTAGATTTGTTTTTAAAAAGCTTCAAACCCTATATCCACCATTCAAAATTTATAACACTGAATCGTGAACGTATTAACAAAATTTCAACTCAATCGGATCGTAAATCGATTTCTGTTCAACTGGCAACTCTTCATTTTCTCTCTTTCTTTTCTAGTTCCCTTTTCTTTTAATTTCAATGCTACACCTTTTTTTTTCATTCATGCCAAAAACTAGCCCCCACTTTTTTATGTAGGGCTTTTATTCCTTGGTTAAAGATAAAAGGCCTATGAATTTTGATTGGTCAAAACCAAATAGGGCTAGACCCTATGTTCTCAACAATCTCCTTCTTTAACCCATTTAGGAGGAGATTCATCACCATACAATCTCATTGGGAACTTACCTTGTTTAAGGAATCAATTCTGGCCAAATTACTATAGAACTCAAGCTTTTTTCTGGAAAGTATCTTAGTCAATGATCTATTACGTTTTTATTAGTATGAACTTTCTTCAACTGCATTTGTTGCTTTCAATCACCGAACATAACCAGTGATATTTAACATCAATGCGTTTTATTTTAGCATGGTACGTGATATTCATATTGAAATCTAAAGCATTTTAGCTATCATAAAATACTATATACTTTTTTTTATT